CTCCCTCTGCTGCTACTACTGCGACGGCTGCCAACGTTAGGAATTACTCATGCTGATCTACTGTGGCAGGCGATCTAGCAACCTGTACACCAGCAGCTAATCTTCTGGTCACTGGGCCATTACAGCACCAAAATAGCGCCGTCTACTCAAAAAGAGTAGGGGTGTAACCCTGGTGTCCTGGCCAAATTTCCCCCTGGCCTTTACCAGTCAGGGCCTCCTAATAATCCCTAATAATCTAATATTAATTATTATTATTGCACAGTCCCTAGTTAGACCCTGCGTGCACGCTGAAGCTCACAAGGCCCTGTGCCTGACTGTGCCCAAGGTGGGGTGACACATTGGTGGCGAGAGTGGGATTCCCCATTAGCTGTAAAGCACTTTGAGTGGAGTGTCCAGAAATGAGCTACAGATGTGTCAGGATTTTTCTTTTTCTTTTTTATTATGAGCACCTACTGCACCCACTGCCACTCTGAGGAGAGAGGGAGACAGAGAGAGAGAGAGACCTTGGCCAGCTGCCCCGCGCTGGGAAACTCGGGGAAGAGGGAGAGGTGGAAGACGCCGTGGAGGCTGCACTCCTTCATCCTGGGGGGGGGGGAAGGGGGAGAGACAGAAATGGACACACGCGCAGTGAGAAAAGAACAGAAGAGAAGAGAAGAGCGCCCCCTCACGGGGAGCAGGCTCAGCTGGGGAACTGCAGGCAGATGGCGGGGAGACGAGGAGGGGGGGGGGCCGACCTCAGGATGACGTGCACGCTGTCCTCTTCGTCCACGCGCGCTGAGAGGATGAGGGAGCCGAGGGAGGGATCGACCGCCGTGAAGGACTGATGATACTGAGAGGAAGAGGAACAGAGGGGGCATTTAACACCGACCCAGCTGGACAACGTCGGGGCCATGCAGCACATGACAGCACATCAGCACAGCGATCCTGAGAGGCCGACAGCGGAGAGGCACTGTCCGATAAACACAGCCCACAAGGGTAAACCATCATGAAACTGACAGGCAGATACTAGGCACAGTGTACAGCACGCAGAGAGATCAACGCTGTGTGTGTGTATACTGTCCCTGCGCTGACAGACTAGCACAGCTGAGCCTGTTTAGACTTTAACAGAGAAGATTATGGGGGACCTGAGACAAATACACAAACCCCTTTTTTTAGAAGGGCTTTTATTTCACTGGTACTGTGTGCCTCTTGGCTTTCCTACTGTATACTGTAATACTGTAGACTACTGTAGACTACTGTAGACTACTGGACTACTGTAATACTGTAGTCCACCCCCATCTACTACCACAACGTGTTTTTTTTTTGTTGCTGTTCTGTGAAGTGCTTTGAGAAGCCTCTCTGAAAGGCACTATATAAAAATAAAGTGTGTTATTATGCAGAAGTAGTCAAAACCCTCAAAGGTGCTGACGGACTTCTTCAGCACGAACAGTAATAATAATAATAATTGCTTACACTTATATAGCGCTTTTCTGGACACTCCACTCAAAGCGCTTTACAGGTAATGGGGATCCCCTCCACCACCACTAATGTGCAGCCCCACCTGGATGATGCGACGGCAGCCATAGTGCGCCAGAACGCTCCCCACACACCAGCTCTCAGTGGGGAGGAGCGCAGAGTAATGTAGCCAAT